TATCTATTTGTAAACCTGTGTTTTCCTTTTTTACTTGTTTTTACCGTTTCTCTGATTCTATCTTATTTCCGCTGCGATAATCGTTATTACAATATGCAAAAGTTTCATTTCATGTTTGTGTTCCAGTTTAATTTTTATTTCAGACAGATGGTGACAAATATTTTATCTATTGCGCAATACGTTTTTTCCAATGACTTATATCTTTGAGCAATGTCAATACTTTTTTTAAAGATTTGCAAATTATGCTGTATCCTTACACTGCATGCGACAATTGAAATGTGATGAATAAGTGACTTATATATGTATATAATATATGTACTTTAATGCAATCTGTTCCCTCGCTAGATGACTGATCGACCAAGACGTGAAATAACGAAGCCACATCGTTATGAAACCACTTCGTCGGATGAATGCCCGAAACGGAAAAAGATGGAGAAAACCCGAGCAAGGACCACACTGCAGGAAGACATTGACCAGGACATTGGCGAACTGAGAAGGACTCTCGAGGATCCAGATAACATTTCCAATTATAATAATATTATTAACACACAAAGACACACTTTTCCACACAGTCTTCCTACAGACACGATCCATATTTCATGTGAACCATGTACCACATCCGTAACAAAACACTTTTCCACCGAAACAATCCAAACTGCATCTGAACCACCTCCTACATCGGTACATTCACATCCTACATCTATACCGATACAAATGACTCAATATATATCTGAGGAAAGTTCCATATCCCGACCAACATCATATGTATGCACAATGTCCGAAAACGCTCCTAACACATCCTCATCACACTACAACATACCTCCATACACTTATAACACACATGTAGAAACGCACAAAAAACATAACGCTAATAATGAACATTCTCATTTTCAGATGTCTCTCCCAACAGAACAGCCCGGCCCATTTCACGCATCACTAACTGAAATCCATAGGACTCCCCAACTTGACAATGAGTAATTTGCAACATTCCGATATTACAAGTTTCACTAAAAATAAAAATTAATTTAACTTCGAATTATGTAGTCGGTAACAAAAGTATTGTATTTGTAGCAATTCCAGATCACTTCACGAGCGTATGGACCGTTTCGAAAGTGAAATGAAGTAAGTGACATATTTCACTGTATACAAAATTTATATATGTAAAAATTAATATATTAGAGTAAGCATTTATACACGTTGTGTTTCGTTACAGGAAAATGAATAGTACGTTGCAAAACATTTTAAAATGTTTAGAGAACAATCGGGAGCGAAAAGGTATTCCCCGAAAACCAGGCAATCTCCCGATATCGACTCACGCTCAAATGGCAATATTTCAAAATATCGGCGATGACGAATTTCAAGAACTTGTGAATAGACATATTTGTTCATCATTTATGCATTTACCCACAAATTATTATGACACATATATAAATATTAGCTTTTTTCCCCTCAGGTAAACTACTTGAAGTACATCGGAGGATTCAACCTGAAGGAAGCTGTACACTTATGCTTCAAGGAGGCAATGACAGATGACATAACGCGGTCCTTTATCTGGTGGGATCGCCAAGACAACTCACGACCTTTATATAATACTCGCATTGTTATAGCCATTTACGGTAACGTTTTGTAATGTTATTTATGCATCTTCATAGTTATTCGGCGACTCTTCCATATTTGAGTATACTTTGTTTATTTTTCAGAGGCAGTATGCGGTAATCGACACTTCAGCAAGCCTACACGTGCAGAATTCCAAGCACAAATGCGAGAGGCAATACGGACGGCAAAGCAAAGGTGCAGAAATAGGACACGTGGCCCGCGTGCAGTAGGACCGAATCTAAGAGAGCGCAATTTTTGGACTGAGGAACCACAGGATCTGCCGGCAGCAGAGGACAGCGACGAATAAATGATGTGATGTTTGTTTCTTTTTCCTTAGATGAGTACTTTATTGCATTTTATAAATTATTTTGTGAAGTAGTGCAATTACTTTTAATTGTTTACATATTTATTTCTTGCTCACTTCAACTAAATTATTATTTACTTTTATCTAATGTTTACGATTGTATTCCAGATAGAGCAGTTTAACGTGCAGGGATTATGGCGCGGGGCGCCGACGGGGGTTTTTAGTCGGTAGGTTCTGGTCCTTTGGGCCAGGGAGTCCGACACTACTCCGGGTGTTCTTCCTGCACTAGGTCCCGGAGTGTCCATGATAGATTTTCCCCCATCTAAAAAAAAAAAAAAAAACTTTTCAATGTTACATAATTAATAAAATTTTTTTTACTAGAATCTTTCATTTGTGTATTTATTTCTTATATAGCGAATTCGATTGCGAAAACTAGTGCGCGCGCACATGCACGCGACATACACACACACACACATATACACACACAAATTTTGGTTTGTTTTAATGGTCGATACGTCTTGCTCGTTGTTTGCCGTCAATTTGCCGTCACACGTTGCTCGGCATATCTTGTTCGCTGTTTGTCGTAAACTTGCCGTCACGCGTTGCTCAGCACGTCTTGTTCGTTGTTTGCCGTCAATTTGTCGTCACGCGTTGCTTGGCACGTCTTACTCGATTTTTGCCACAAATTTGCCGTCACACGTTGTTCGGCACGTCTTGCTCGCTGTTTGTCGTAAATTTGCCGTCACGCGTTGCTCAGCACGTCTTGCTCGTTGTTTGCCGTCAATTTGCCGTCACCCGTTGCTCGGCATGTCTTGCTCGTTGTTTGCCGTCAATTTGCCGTCACGCGTTGCTCAGCACGTCTTGTTCCCTGTTTGCTGCAAATCTGTCGTCACACGTTGCTCGGCACGTCTTGCTCAGTTTTTGCCAGCACTCTGCCCTCAAGTAATCTCGGCATGCTTTGCCGACATAACGCCAGCATAAAGGTAGTATACATGCTGCAAATTTGCTGCAATCTTATGATTGATTTTGCTAGCATTTTGTCGACATATTGCTGACATTTGGCTATCAGGGGATATATATACATGGAACTACAATACTGCTCATCTGTACCAAAATAATGAGGAGCCCCGTTCTACTCCACGCTGCAATCGTTTCGAAGCGCCGTGTAAGCCAATCAGTCACGCTAAAATCTTAAACGGATCGCTCGGTAGATATACGTCACCACGATCAAATCGTATTTTTCACTATTTTTTTTATGTAGCTCTTCAAATCATAATGTAATGATCTCGCAATGTTCAGAAATGTCCCCTGCGTACAAAATAACTTTAATTTCGCCTGCCATAGCTGTCCTGGGCCCTGATTCTCGAAAATATATCGCATATAACATTTCGTGGAAAGCTATAGTTCATACGTTACCTTTACTATAGCTTTTCACTAAATGTCGTATGCGATATATTTTCGAGAATGTGGGTCCTGTACATTATCCGATGAAAAATTTTTCATGCAAAATTATGTATGAAATTTGTCCATACATAATTATGTATAATTATATATAATCATATAAAATTATATATAATTATACACAATTATGTATAACAATATGTATAATTACATAAAAATCTATGCGTAATTATGTAAAACTATACATGAATTTATATATATAATTATACATAATTATGTATAATTACATATATAAATAGAATGTATGAACATGAATGGACAAATTTGATACATAATAATATATAATTATATATAATTATATATAATTGTATATAATTTTATATAATTATATAAGAAAAATTTTTCATTGGGTAATTGCACAGATTGCAGTTGGTGGAATGTAATGCCGGGAAAAAATAGTTCAGATAAAAGACAGAAATGGATTTTGTCAAGATCTGATCAAATATAATAAGATATAATTCAAATATGATTCCAGATTGTGATATAAAATTATATTTGTATATATTATATATTATACCATATATAATTTTATATATGATTATATATTATTATATATGGACAGATCTTAATCATATATAACGTTATATCTGATTATGTCTGATCAGATCTTGACAAAATAAATTTCTGGCTTTTATCTGAACTTTTTTTCACTGTCTTATAACTTATAGTACATATTATAATTATAACAATAAGGAGAATATCTCATGTATATTATAT